TTTCTTTGCTACTTCATAAATGTAATTTTGCTACTTTTATGAATTGGGCGACCCCTGTGAGAGGGTCGCTTGACCCCAAAAAGGGTCGTAACCCACAGGTTGAGAACCGCTAGATTATCTGCTCTCAGGAAGTAGAGAGGTTATTACATCAAGGCTACTCAACAGACCTGTTTAGGATCCCAGAGGGGGCCTGGAGGAGAGGGAAGAGTTGGAGCCAAATTCCTGGGTGATGATCTTGAAGAGCATCTTCAGGTTGTTTTTAAAGATATCTTCAGACTATTTAAACACAACTACTCAATGGGAACAAAACTAATTCACATTTTATTTTATTTCTTAAATTTGGAGGTTTTTGAAATTTTAAGTGCTTTTAATTTTTAAAATCAGATTAAATTAACGTACCATAAACTTCCATGAGCACTTTGACCCTGCCTATTGGGTCGCTATGAGTCAGAATCACCAGATGGCAGTGCGTATATTGCGTTTATTTTGAGTAGCATAACAATAATGCCCCTGGAATCAGCAGTCAAAAAATGAAATGGCATATTGCATGTAGTCAAACCTGCCCGAGAAGATCTCTCCAATGGGCTCAGCAGCAAAGTCACCCTGAGGACCGAGGTGCATCTGACTCAAGCCATGGTCTTTTCAATCACCTCATATGCACGTGAACGTTGAACAACGAGTAAGGAACCAACAAAGAACTTACACGAAGTACAAATAATTCATTCTTGAAAGAAGCATAGGCAGAATGTTTGTAGAAGCCAGAAAGGTGAGACTTAGTCTCATGTACTTTAACATTATCAGGCACACGAGTTTCTGGGGAAGACATTGCACTCCTTAAAGTGGAGGGTCCGGGAAAAGAGGAAGAAACACAAGGAGAATGGTTCACACAATGGTTGCAGCAATTGGCTCCAACACAGCAACCATTGTGAGAATGGGACAGGACCACACAGAGTTTCATTCTGTACCACACAGGGTCACTTCCCACCAGAACGCACTCATGTGACAGCTATAAGAACATTGCTTATAGATACAGCAAGGGGGATATGTATGTGTCCAGTGTCATGTTCTACCTGACACTTACAACCCAGTTCTTAACAAAGCCTGGTGAGTCTGGCAATGGGCTTTAGACAACTTGAACATTAAATTCTGTACTTCCAACAAGCAGCCATCTAAGTGAGACATCCACAGTGCACATGGAAGAAGCACACCAGTCTTTAGGATCTAAAGATAACAATAAACATCCAAATATGATGACGGGACACCAATTTGTAGGCGGCTGTGGGAGAACCGTGGAAGCCCAAAGTCCATCTGCAAAGTATGGAGTCAGATTAAGCCTCTGGGAGATTCCCCTGGTCACAGGCAAGGGATGCAGACAGCTTTGCCATCAACAGAGACGATTGTAAACTTGATATTCGTGGACATGGCTATGGTGTCATAGACTTGTTCGGATGACCTCCCTCTTGATCCAACCTGAATTTGCTCTAGAGTTAAATATTTCTCACATATTCCATACAGAAATTTCTTCTCTGGATTTTTAATTACTTTTTTATTGCTAGAGGTCTTTTCTTTTTCACTGTTTTAAATGTTTTATCATTATATTATTTTTTTCCTTTCTGTTTCATTTTCTTTGATTGTCTGTATTGTTTCTGTTAGGTTTGCCAGTTTATGAGGCACAGAAAGTGTGGACGCAGACAGACAATAACGGATGCAATGATTAATCTGGGGCAAAGTGCAGGAGGGCGAGGGAATTGGGGAACAAATCATGAATGTGGAAGGAGGTGGGAGCCCTAGAACTCATTGTGATGAGTTTTAAATAGTGACTTAAGTATGGAAGTGTATTATATGTGAATTTTATATCAATAAATCATTTTGTTGTTGTAAAGTTTTATTTATTATTTTTTAACCATTTCATTTGGAGCTCTTACAGATATTATAAAAGCCCATAATTCAATTAGATCAGGCATAATTGTACAATTGCTACCACCATTAGTTTCAAAGCATTTTCTTTCTTCTTGAACTGTTTGATAGCAGCTCGCCCTTATCCCCTCGCACCCCACTCAACCCCCCAGGAACCCTTATTATTATATTGTATAGTATTATCATTATTATATATATATATATATATATAATATAGTTACCATATATTATACCATCCAATGCTTCTATTCACCTGAAACTCTGTCACTCTTTCCCCTCAAGTAGGATTATATAGTCATCATTTATTTCATCTTCCCCTTACCCCTTTCTCCCCAATCCCTCTTCCTGTACCCTCAGGGAATCATTACTCCCATTACTGTTTCTGAAGAAGTATCTAGCTTGGATTTCATGCATTGAACTATCCAATTATACAAATGAACACACCCAGAACTAAGAAGATTAATGAGGTAAAACAAAACCGTAATAGTAAGGGGAAGAAATATTAAAGAACTAGAGGATAATTAGGTGTTTCGTCAGTGTTATACCACACCCTGGCTTTATCATCCATTCCATCTAGCCTTTCTGTGAGGGACTGTCCAATTATCTTACAGGTGGGTCTGGATCTCCACTTTGTCCATTCTCCTTCATGTCAATTTGATTGCTTGTTTTTGAACTTCTGATACCTATTCCTGTTGAAACCACATGATCACCCAGGCTGGTGTGCTTCTTGCATGTGGGCTTTGTTGCTTCCCTGCTAGATGGCTGATTATTTAGCTTCAAGCTTTTAAGACCTCAGACGCTCTATCTTTTAATAGCCAGGCGCAATCATCTTTCTCCACCACATTGGCTTATGCACCCAATTTGTCTTCTGTGATAGTGTCAGAAAGGTCTCCTACAGTGCCACATTACTAGCACAAACCGTTCTTGTACTGAGATCAGTGTTAAGTAGAGGCCCAAAGTCCATCTGCTTCCTTGTTGTATCTACCTATGTATACATACACAGACAAATACCCCTATCTTTATATTTTATACATTTACATATATATTTATACCTATCTACACTTTTTACTTTCTTCTTCTTTCTCTCTCTCTCTATATATATATAACTCTGTGCTTCTGAGGTACACAATGCCATTAGAGAACAGACCGGATGGACTCTAGATGGAGCATCACTAAGAAAAATGGACTTTATATTAAACTCATTAGAGACAAAAGGAATGGGAATATCCCCTTGAACTCTAAGCTGAAATGCCCTACTTGAAAACGAAGCAGACGGTTGATATCCCCTGGTTAAGGAATGGGTGGTCTTTGGATTTGGCTGGTTCTGACCTATTGTTTTGAGGGTGCCCCCAAAATGGCCACCAGGACCAATCTGTATTTGCTTTGTTACACGTTCCGTCTGCCTTCGTGTGACAAGTGTCAGTCTACCAGGAGTGGTTCTGCCCTCATCAGTGAGACTTACTGAAAGTAGTGCCACGATCAAGGGTTCATGAGGGAGGGAGGGCCAGGGAGGGAGCGGAAAAAATGAGGAGCTGACTCCAAGGGCTCAACTAGAAAGAAGATGTTTTGAAAATGATGATGGCAATGTACAAATGTACTTGAGACAATCGATGTATGTGTGCATTGTGATAAATAAGAGTTGTACGAGCCCCCAATAAAATGCTTTTTTAAACACAAATAAATAAAATGTGATTTGTGTGTGTGTTAAGCTTAGTAAGATTTAAATATTCCCTTAATCAATGAAGGACAACCCTAATTTACTAATCAGAGCAATTGTATAATTTGCTGTTAGAAATTTTGATATTGGAACAAATGGTTCTTGCATAGTCCTTCGAAAATGGATGTGGGCTAAAATCATCTTTGAAATAAAATCTAATTTCTTTGAAAAAAAGAATTATCTTATCAATAGTTGATTAAAACCCCATGGAGGTGATTTATAATATATAGGGACTGCTAAAGGGATAAACCAATCTGTCTTAGACGATGTAGGGGCAGAGCACTCCTCAGAAGCAAAGATGGTAAGGCTTTGTCTGACATACACTGGACATCTTATCAAGATGGACCCGTGCAGAGAGACGTGGAGAAGGACAGCATGCTTGGTAAAGTGGAGGGGCAGCAAAAAGAAGAAGGACCCTGTCGATACAGAGGATTGAAGCATGTCCCTCTCACACTGGGAAGGCTCACAGCTATCTAAAAGTTTCCTTCAGGAAATAATTCCTCCATGTGGGCTTACTTAGAGTGGAGATATGTGTACATTATCATTTGGGGAGTTCTTAAGTTCTTACTTCTAAACTACAGAATGTCATTCAAGGTCCACGCTGAGAGCGGTGAAAAGTCAACTTCCTCATTGAATCCAAGTCAGAATCACGGTTCTGAGCGGGCTGTGTCCAATGCACAGATGGTGTTACAGTGTTTCTCTTCCTCCCATTAGCGCCAAGGCCCTAGCAGAATTCATCCATTCATTGACTTTATTTATAGGTTTACTCTAATTGCTCCTAATGTTCACCACGTGTGGGTACTCTATTCCACGAGGCTGCTCATGACCGGGGGTAAACTCCAGCGCAGCTTCCAGGCGGTTTGGCATGCTTCCCTGAAATAATATGTACTCTTGTGAGACTGTAGAACCTGAAACTTTTCACCTGGAAACACCCGTAATCCAAAACAGATAAACCCCTCAGGACCAATAATGACAGTAGTAATTCCAGGAGGGGAAGGGGAAGGCCAGAGGTGAAAGGGGAAACCGATCACATATAACCCCTCGCTGCAGGACGGACAACAGAAAAGTGGGTGAAGGGAGACATCGGTCAGTGTAAGACATGAAAAAAAATAATGATTTATAAATTATCAGGGCTTTGTGAAGGAGGGAGGGTGAGGGAGGGAGGGGAAAATGAGGAGCTGATACCAAGGGCTCAATTAGAAAGAAAATGTTTGGAAAATGATGATGGCAACAAATGTACAAATGTGCTTGACACAATGGATGTATGTATTGTGATAAGAGCTGTATAAGCCCAAAATAAAATGATTTTTAAAAAAGAAATAAATAGGAACTGATACCAAGGGCTCAAACAGAAAGAAAATAGTTTGAAAATGATGATGGCAACATATGTACAAATGTGCTTGATACCATTTATGTATGGATTGTGATAAGAGCTATAAGAGCCCCCAATAAAATGATTTATTAATATTAAAAAAAACTCGCTTGTCTTACAAAGCAGGCTTCGGCATGGAATCTTTCTCGTGCAAAGCCAAGAACTGAGGGATTACCCACTGGAGAAACCTCACACTGCCATATACCAGCAGGTAATTGCTCTGAATCTATTCCAGGTTCCGCTGCGTGGATGCAGATGCACTGCAACACCAAGTGGTACACAAAGCAGACCTGCTCTGTCAACGGTTCTCATCTGTATGCTCTGGGGGGTGGGGGGGTGGATCACTGCGCCTTTCTTCCAGGGCGCCGCGGAGAGCATTCAAACCAAGCCACCGAGTGCAAACCCTCTCAGTTCTCCATGACTCTCCTGATCTCCCAGAGCTCCATCTCTGGGTGTCGTTGGGGAAATGAGAATTTGTGGAGGATTTACAAGGTGTGTCGAAGGGTCAGTAGTGGGACTAAGAGCCAGGAGGGGCTGGGTTTCTCCTCACAGAGCTGAGTAGTGACCATGGCTGCTACCTCCCAGGTCAAGCATGAGTCCAGACACTCAGGAAACAAGCATGGATGATCTGGTGCTTCCCACGACAACGCTGACCCTGCACTGTGGGAACTTCCTTTTCTGATCCTTCCCTTCCTCCCAGGGAACTTAGCTGAAACAAGAAGAAATACGGTCTGAGGGTGTTAGATTCCTCCCTGGATAACTGCCCATTGTTGACCCTTCCCTTCACACTCAGGGCAAGAGCTCAGGGGAAGGCCTGGAACCTCCCAGTCAGAAACTGGGGCTCGTCCCACCTTGCTAGGAAGGGTTGACAAGGGCGTCACCTTCATGTTCATGTTCTCAGGTGTTCTGCGCCTGTCCTTATAGTTCAACCAATTCCTCCAAGTAGGTTTGCTTTCTGGATCTGTACAAGAGCCCAAACACACGTGTTTATTATGATCACTGATAGTGCAGCTCAGGAATGAGCACGTGGCCAAACAAGAATGGTATATCTCCTCTGCATGTGTTCAGGGACCTGGGCTAGGTAGGCTCAGCTCATGGATATGGCTAGAATAATCGGGAAGCTTTTCTATGTATATGGCAAGGGGTATGGGCTATGAGCTGGCACCATAGGGGACCTGTGGGATAGAAGTGCAATGTGTGCCCTTGCTTTGTAGCCTCTCTGAGGGACAAGTTAGGGCTTCCTCTTAGAGTTGAGGCTGGATTTCAAAAATGGGCATTCCAAAAGAGCAAGATGCAAGTCCAGAGAATTTGTGAGATGTAGCCTAAGAATTCACAGAGCATCACTTGACCCTTAGTCACAGGCTGTCAAGGTTCAGGAGGAGGGATCATCCACCCACCCCTGCATGAAAAGAGTACCACAGAGCAAGGGGCTGGGGATACCATTGAGGCCATCCCTGGCCCATACAGTCCGCTATCTTTCTAAAGAGGGGCTGCGGTTAGAACGATGATGCTACCTGGAAGCCTCTGGTCAGCCCCTTGTCAAGATCACTGAGTGGAACGTCTCTCGGAATAAGGACAATAATAAAAGCTAGAATAACAGATTCTCAACTGGAAGAGGAACACTTGTCTAGGGCGTCGCCTTTGGTTCATCCACCCTCATCCAAACATACAGTTATCTGAGGGGAGGAGACAGGGGCTGCAGGAGTACAGAAACGAAGCCTCTGAGAAA